AAAACACAATGTATATATGAATATATATATATTTTATACCATCTTAAGAATAAAAATAACCATATAACTCACAAAAATATATAGTGAAGATTTAAATATATATTTTCTCTATATTATGGGTCAATGTGTAAACCATGTGCACCAAAAAAAGAATTGGTAGCACAAATGTTAGTGGTTTTATAACTGCCCTTATTATTATAGTGAATAAAAAAAAAAAAAAAAAAAAAAATTTAAAAATGTATAAACAAATGCTCTAGTGAAAGAGGCACTAAATTCTGGAGCTTTTTGCCACATTGGTCTGAACAGAAGAAAGTAATATTTCTTTGGTAAAGAGAAACTGAGTATTCTCACAGAGATCCTAACAGTCATAAAATATTGTCATCTTTTCTCAGAGTCTATCATTACGTAAATGAAAGAAGTCATACTAATTCTGCTATCATTCTACTAGTTATATTGTAGTTTTATAATCTTGTAAATATAAAATTATTCTTGTAAATAAACAATCTCATAAATAATACTTTTTTTCAATTCAAGGACAAAGAAAATGTATAAATCTACTTTCATATGTTTAAGTTTTATTAAAATTTTTTTAACCCAATAAATATTGACAAAGTAGTATACAGTCAAGAGAAAGATTGACCTTTTGATACTATTTTTTAGAATGTATGATGGTTAAACTTTGCTGTCTAATTTTTGCACTTGTATAAGAATTATAGGTTAGTTCACTGAATGTTATATATAGATCTTTTAATAATAACAATATAGATAATAGTATTAATACCAGCAACAACAATTACAAGAAAAATTATTGGCCAGAAAGTAAAAGTATCAGTGTAATAATAAGAGAAGTGTTTATTCATTCCAAAAATGGAAAAAGCAAACGTTCGTGTTGGCAAAGGAGAGAATTCAGAGTGGGAAATGGCTAATAGTGAAGATGGCAGCGAATTTATAATTTGCAAACGTCTTTAACCCTAGTTTCCCCCAACATAGATGAATAAACACATCCAAAACCAGCTACAGATGTATTTATACGTCTTTCTTGATCCTTTTTATGTCCTGAGCTTGAAACACATCCAATTGTCAACTCCTACATCTGGTAGGAGGTGTTAGCCACCAATCCAGTACTTCAAGGTGCCTCAATTTCTTAGTTACTATATTAAAAATATTAAAAAAAATTAGTCTGAAAATTAAATGTTTTTCTCCAAAATAATTGGCAGGGAAAGGGTTAAAAATCAACAAAATGTCATTAGAAAATTAACAAATCAACATGTTAAAACATTCCCTGCACTCTTAGATACAAAAATATAAATATGTAAGATATGTAACAAGTGGTATTCAACGAAGGTAAAATTAAAAAAAAAAAAAAAAAAAAAAAAAAAATTTAAGATAAATTTGAAATATTGAATTCTTTTTACCAGAAATATTAATTTTTTTTTTTCAATATCCAAATACAAAATCAGGTTTTTTATTTTAATATCCAGTATGATGTATACTTTTAAAATTCTTTTAATCTTTAAATTTGTACAGGATGGCACAATATTTTTTTTCTTTTTTCAATTAAGTTTCCACGGTTGTATTCCAATTTAAAGATTAAAATTCCGATACCTTTTTTTTTTAAAGGAAGAAATAAAAAAAAAATAATTCAAGGGGAACAACTACAAAAATATATCGGAGTTACCTCCCTTGAACAATAAAAATTGAGAAAATCAAAGGAAGAAATCTTTTAACATCACTTGAGTGAATGAGAAAAATACAAATCATCTGTAGTCTAAGGAATTTCAAAAGAAACCAGTTCATTCATCGCTTGCAGAAGAATTTTGCAAGCCATTGTTAGTGTATTCATTTCCGGTTTTTGAAATAAGGACAAAGAAAAAAGAAAGAAAAAAAACTGATGTTTGAGCCCAAATTGACAATTTCCAAAGTCATTCCCTTCAAAAGAATCCTCTCCATACATTTTTTTTTTGTTGTTGTTGTTGTTTTAGACATTTAGGTGTAGAATTATTTTTGATTGTCCTAATTAAACTACTCTTAATAACAATGATTTTCTTTTTTTTTTTTTCATAGATATAATGAATTTGACATTTTTTTCCTTTATTGCATATCATTCACAATGCACGTCTTCAAGAACCATTTTGATAATAGAATCAATTTGCAATGCATTTCAAGAGTAAATTTTCAATGAACTTATTTAATAAATGTATACTGCTTTTCTACAGTAAATTACAATTTCTCACACAATTTTTGTTTCCATACTTTTAGATTTTAAGTATGACAATGAAATCATTTGAGAAAAGATAACTCAGTTTATACAAATTATACAATAAGGTTTTCTATTTTTCTTCCTAGGACATTCTTTAATATTGGATTTATTTTATTTATTTAATGATTTATTACACAAATAAACTACTTATGATTTAAATAAATCCATTATTCAATTTTTTTTTTTTTAAATACACTAATTCATGTCATTCAGTAAATATTTGAGCTGTGGAATGGTAAATTATGTCTTTCATCTTTTAATAAAGATTTTGAAGAATTTTGTCTTCTATTTTTATGACACATAGACAGAAGTGAATAATGAAGATATTAAATTACTCACAACAGATATGTTTTAGATTTACTTATGTCTAGAAAGGCTTAAAAAATGAAAAAATTTTGTTACCAGAAAGTTACAAATGATCTACAACCCTCTTCAGTTCTCTTGAGATTCTATAGGCTATAGAATGGATTGATCAAAGTCAGTAAGAAAAGAGTTGCCAAAGATATTTCGTCTCAGAATTTCAATTTAAAAAAAAAAAAAAAAAAAAGTTATCTCCCTTGAAAAAAATAATTTTTCTTTTCAATCTACTCGTTAGCTACTAAATTAAAATCGTCTGCTTTACATGGCATCAGGAAATACACAATCAGCATTGAAAAAAAAAAAAAAAAAAAAAAAAATAGGTACTTGATGACGAATTAAGATAAAAATGAAAAATATCTTTTTAAAATACATCACAACCATAAGAAATGTTTGAAAATTGACAAAGCAGTTGGCAGGTTTGCAACAGTTGAAAAAAAAAAAAAAAAAATTTTATTAAAAATAAAAAACAGCTCATGACTTTTTTGTTGTTATTAAAAATATTTCAAAAAATAAAATTAAGTCATGGCTATTTAATTGAGAGAGCTAATTTTTTTTTTGGGGGGGGGACAAAAGAAAGATAAAATTAAGAAATAAAAAAGTAAAACAAATAGACTGATTTGGGAAGGTTTAATATTTGTATATTTTGATTGCAAAATATGAGAATACATTTTAAATGAAAGTAACCAAGAAAATTGAAATCACTGATAAAAAGAAAAATGATTTGAGGAAAGATTTTAACCAACAAAAATGATTATCAATGATGAAGTCAAGGTTAATTTTATTTAAGTTACGTTTCCTATTTTTTAAATTAAAAAGTATTAAAAATTTTTTTAAATATTTAAAACTTAGAATTTTATGTCATTAAAATATTTTCTTAGTTTATAATATAAAGATAAATCCAAATTTTAAGTTAAAAACCCAATTTTGTAATTTTTTTACGTCAATATTAGAAATTTAAAATGTTAACTTTAAAATTCAAAATAGATAACATTAGAATCTGTGTTTGTGTCTTAGTATTTCTTTCAATCAGTCCCTCCTACCAAAATGAATAGAGTATAAAAAAAATAAAAAGGATTTTGTTCAGACCAAGTGATGCATGCGCAAGAGTTAATTCTACGAATTAAATGGATTGTTTAGAACTTTAAAACACAACAGTAGCAATGTTTGCTTCCATTTTTTTTTTAATGCGAAGGAGTTGTCTCCCTTCTTTTTTTTTTTTAATATGCTAAAAGTAAATTTTAACACAGAAATACGTTTTTCTTACACTAACACTCATAATGGATTATGAAGTAAACGGTAAGAACCCTCATCCAATTTACCAAAGACCAAAATTTCCAGATTTAGTAAATACTTCTGATTAATAACGACTCAAGAATTCAAGTGTAAATCGATTTTACATTGACTAAGAAAATTTTTTTTTTTTTTGTTTTTTTTCCTTATGAAAACCAAATTCATTTATTTGGATGATTATTCTCACCTTTGTTGTTTTGATCAGTATTTCAGCCAATACACTCTCTTGTCTATTTTACACAGTTTATACTTTTGATGCTTTGATTTGCTACATGTAGAGATTTTTTTTTTAAATTTAACATTACCACATGTTGAGAATTTTAGAGCAAAAGAGACAAGTTGTCAAGTTTTTGAAAATAAATTTAAAAGAAAAAAAAAAAAAAAAAAAGGTTTCATTTTCATTTGTTTATTCAATGAAAGGATTGATGGAGGCTATAATGAAGTCTGCTGTTAAAAATATTCACTCATTGAAAAAAATTTGATATGTTAAACCAAGGATTTGTTTTTTGTAGAACTTTATTGAAAAGACACTAAGTGATTATCCCCCTTTATAGTTTTATGTAGTTATTTACTGAGCATCGTTTGACAGAACATCATACATATTAGAAATGTCTATTAGAAAGTAAGGCATCCAAAACATGATTAAACAAGTTTAACAGCCATTCTAACACCACATTTTTATTCCTTTATTTGAACGAGTATCCTCATCTTTGTTTTCAGCTAATGTCCTTCATTATTTTTTTTTTTAAGGTCTACTGCATTTAGAAGTAATTGGATCAGTAGATTTTTTCCTCTCTGAATGAAATAGAATTTAAAAAAAAAAAAAGAAAACTCATTGATAAATTATGTGTACAGGATTATTCAACTCCAACCCAGTACACAAAACAGCCAAGGAAGAAGGATGAAGAACCTGACAAAACAATGATGAGAATATTGGTCCAAATAATCCATAGAAACCTAGGAATGATAGATTTTTCAGTTTTGGTATATCAGACAAGGGATTCTTCTAGCAAAGATCCAGTATTCTAATATCAGTCGGTGGATGGGATTTCTTTCCGCTTTTCATTCTGATGGCCATGAAAAAGATCAACTACAAAAGGACCAATTCAGTTTTGCCATCTTTGGTCACCATTTTCACAAGACTTCCATTTACAGGACGTTCTTGTCCTTGGCACCACTTGTAAAATATTCTGCAATTAAAAAAAAGTAAAATAAAATGTAACAGACTGGTTTATAAATTGTATTTTGTGTTCATCTATATTTCACCATTTCCATTAAAAAGCTTGGAAGAAGAATTCAAAGTCATGCACACAAGAGAATTATTCCAATTCAAAACATCAAAGATCTTGAAAATAGCTTCAGCTGGCATCAAGGTGTGCACAGGAAAAAAAGATTGCAGAGGAGAGGATAAAATACTGAACTATCCCAGGAACTGTAACGAAAGGATGTGATGGCCTTGGGTACTTACCTAGTAAATGGTATAGCAACAGGTTTGAGAAGGAAAAAGACAGTTAATCCAAGAAATACAGGCAGTCACTAGTTGGAATGAGTCAACAGGGTACATGTACAAAATAGGAGGAAATCCTGCAGCAGGATGAACTACAACTGAATCCAAGTCACCATCAAATCAGTGTATGACATCCTGACAAGTCTGGCAAACGTGTATAAATAGGGCAAGGAAAAAACTCAACTTGTTACCTGTGCAATGGAATAGGTACATTAAAACACATTCTGAGTAATTACCAATAACACTAGGGGAAAACGGGTACAGGTGGTGCTACAATGAAGTATTGTGTATAATCGCAAATGTATTTGACCGAGCGATACACAATAACAAAACCCAACCAGAAAATATGATAAAATTTGTCAAATCTGGATCGAAAGAAAGACCCACACAGAGAACTAGATCCAACCATCTAACAAAATCAAATGACTGGCAAATGAAAGTAGACTTAGGGGTAATAGTTAAAATTCCCAGAACACATTATCAAAACATCGCTGAGAGCTGACATTAGTATTTTTTTAAATAAAGGGAAAATGTTAATTATATACAAATTAACCATCTCTTGGGAAAAGATTATTATGCAAGCACATGAAAGGAAACTCGACAAATACCAGGAATTAAAAGAAAGCTGCCAGAGTAAAAGTTGAGACTTTCTACCAAACTTTATAAAGGAGAAGGAAAAGGTAAGAGAAGGAAAAAGTAAGAGAAGGAAAAGGTAAGAGAAGGAAAAAGTAAGAGAAGGAAAAAGTAAGAGAAGGAAAAAGTAAGAGAAGGAAAAAGTAAGAGAAGGAAAAAGTAAGAGAAGGAAAAAGTAAGAGAAGGAAAAAGTAAGAGAAGGAAAAAGTAAGAGAAGGAAAAAGTAAGAGAAGGAAAAAGTAAGAGAAGGAAAAGGTAAGAGAAAAAAAAGTAAAGAAGGAAAAAGTAAGAGAAGGAAAAAAAAAAGGAAAAAGTAAAGAAGGAAAAAGTAAGAAAAAAAAGTAAGAGAAGGAAAAAGTAAGAGAAGGAAAAAGTAAGAGAAGGAAAAAGTAAGAGAAGTAAAAGGTAAGAGAAGGGGGGAGGAAAAAAAAGTCAGCAAGTATAAAAGATATCCAAACAAGACAATACTTTTTTTTTTCTTTTTCGTCCAAAACATCATATCAGAATTTATATACAATCCTGATGAGGGACTAATTTTTTCTGCATATTTTTGTAGATATGACCAAATATTCAGTCAGGAAACCAATGGCTGGGAAGATGAGGCAAAAAAGAAAATTGTCGTGGAAAAAAAAAAAAGCTCCAACAGACTATGAAAAATACAGCAATTAAATATTCCCAATAAAAATAGGTGAAATCAGGTATGAAGTACACATTCTGATGAAAAACATTAGTGACAAGGAGTCTCTGTTTAATGCTAATTGAGGGTGCTTGAATCTAGCCCAAAAAAGAGGACAAAGATTTGTCATATATGTTGGTATCATCAATAAAGAATGTGAAAATTGATAACAAACAAAATGACTCCAGATTTGTTCAAAGGATTCATTTTCATGCAACGTTTAACAGGTATAAAAAAAAAAAAAAAAAAAACCCGCTGAAATACAAGTGAAAATTTTAACAAAAATTGAACAAAACAATAATATTACACTGCAAGAAATAGTGGATGATTATCAGACAATGCCAAATCTGAAACACAAGGTTAAAGAAATTCAGAAAAAAAAGAGTGTGCATTGGTATAAGCAAAGGACACATGTACAAAAAGGAGAATAAATCCTTGTTTCAGATGTGGTAAATTACATCTTGGAAAAGACTGTCCATTTAAAAATGCAGAATGTTACAAGTGTAGTAAAAGAGGACATATAAAGTCACAATGCAAAACCAAATGAAGAAAAAATACTCACAGGAAAAAATTACTACACAGCATTGTGACAGAAAAATGGTCACAGAAAACAAAAGAAAATTTGTAAATGTGGAAATAAATAATGTGGAGGTGAAAATGCTACTGGACACTGATAGTGATATTTCCATAATCAGTGAAACCACATGGAAGGCCTTTATTAAAAGAACTTCCAAATTCGTGATTTCAATTTCTGGTAGAAATTTTAAAATAATTTGCAATATCCTTTTTTGTAATAAGCATGTAAAAACTAAAGCTTATGTATTAAAGAATGCTACAAATTTATTTGGAACGGACTATTTCAACTTTTGGTATAAAGGTGGCACCAGCTATTTTTCAACAAACCATGGATGCCAGATGAGTAAAATCAGTGTTTGACAAGTTGTTATAAAGTTGAAGAACATGAATGGTTAACAAAATCGACACAAAAATCTCAAGATCGGTAATAATATCGGCAAGAATTGCAAAATTGATTCAAATGGTGAAAGGGAAAAAATCTGAACATAAAAGTCACCATAATCAGCTGAAAAAAAAAAAATTCAGTGATGAAAGACTTGTAATATTGAAAGAACCAATGAAAATGCTATATTTCAGAATAGCATATCTGGATGACACTTTTATCAAAAATGTATCAAAAGAACAAAATGTTGGTCATGTGAAAGCAATTTTGGGAAAACTAAGGTTATACAGATTCAAGTTTAGTGAAGTTTGCAGAAAATTAAATACCTTAGCCAAATTATTGATAAAAATGGTAGGCAACCAGATGCATCAAATGCAACTGCATTTAAAAATATGCTTACACCAAAAAATGTGACTACAAGAATTTTTTTTTTTTTTTTAGGACTGGCTAATTACTATCAAATTTATCTACATAATATGCATAAGTTAAGGGCGCCAATTAACAATCTCCTTAAAAGAAGGAGTAAAGTGAAATTGGAATGGTAAATGTCAAAAGTTGTTCAACGAAAAAAAAAAAAAAGACTTACATTTGATTTATCATTAGCACACTGTTCACAAAGTATAAATTGTAGTGGCATCAGATTCTACAGAGTACAATATAGGAGAAGTGATTTTGCACAATTACGATGGCAGTAAAATGAAAACAGACCACAGACCTTTATTAACAATATATAAAGTTCAAAGAAAGGAATACCTACTCATACAGCTAATAGACAACAATGGGGTACCATCCTGTTAAACTATGTTTTTATGATGGAACATCAATTGTCTAAAAAAATTAGAGCATACAGATGAATTATCAAGATTAATACTAGAAATATGGAACCATTTGAGGCCACAGTCATCGCAGCACTAAAAAGTGGAATGGAGATAAAAACATTTTGTGCAATGCAGTATGAGAGTTACCAGTGACCCTGGATGAAATAAAAGAAAAAGTGGAAAATGGCGTCTTTATTGTAAAAATAAAAAAGCAATTGAAAGAAAGCAACAAAGAACAAAATCCAGACTTAAACACATCCTCAATATGCAATGGTGCAATAATGTAGGATAAAGAATTGTAATATTGTGTGTGTGTTACAGAAATGAATATTAAACAATTTCTAGAATGAAATCTATGAGGAGAAGTTTTGTATATTGAACCGAAATGGACCAAGATATTGAAAGAATAGTAAAAGTATGTAGAGGTTGTGCTCTGGTAGCAAAACTACATATCACAAAGATAGAACCTTGGCCAAAGACAGACACACCATGGTCAATATTGCATATAGATTTTGCAGGTCCTATCAATGGATCATATTTTGTGGTAGTTGATAGTTTCACAAAATAACCAGAAATTTATAAGTACAAAAATCCAACATCCTCAGTGACAGTGAATTTCTTGCATGAACTGTTTGCAAGATATGGCATACCAGATACCATAGTTTCTGATAATGGATTGCAATTAACAGGTAAAGAATTTCAAGATTTTTTGTTAGATGTTCTCCACTGAACATTACGACTTGCCGTATCACCCAAAGTCTGAACGGTTTGTGGGGGGAATATTCAAAAGAGCATTGAAGAAAGCAAGTCTTGAGAAATTAAATAAAGGAAGCACTTCAAAATTTTCTGAGAGTTTACCAGATAACACCTAACCCCAACGCACTATCAGGCATGTCGGCAGCAGAATTAATATTTGCCAAAAGAGTAAAATCAGTGTTTGACAAGTTGTTACCTAGTTGAAAAAACATGAATGGTTAACAAAATCGACACAAAAATCTCAAGATCGGCAATAAGGAAACATGGAAAGATGGCATAATATCAGCAAGAATTGAGAAATTGATTTACATGGTGAAAGGGAAAAAATTTGAACATAAAAGTCACCATAATCAGCTGAAAAAAAAAGATTCAGTGATAAAAGACTTGTAATATTGAAAGAACCAATAAAAATGCTATATGATGTTTTTCAATGTGCCAGCACCACAACAAGTTGTGGAACCTAAGAAAAGAAAGCAAACTGAAGAACTGGGAGAGGATGCAACATGGAAACACTACAAAGTCAAGTATATTGGTAAACTCTCCAGAAAGAGGAGGGGAGATACTAATACTAATAAAAAATAAAAATATTTATAAAAGTATTCATCTCAAAATGGGAGTATGTCGTGGAGTAAAGAGTATGCCCTAAGTGACTATATGAATTAGTCCATTACTATAAAGAGCTCCAGGTCAGAGGTAAGACTAGTAACCAATAGTATCAGTCTTCAGATTAACTAATACAGTCATCACAGCAAGTAGCCAAAGCATTACGCATAGAGAATCCTTATACAAAGTATGTTATATAAGAGTGTGTTATAACAATAGCCATAGAATAGTGGCGTAATAATAGGAACAATAAAGAAAAAAGAGAAAATCAAAAACACATAAAAACAATCCATAAACTGAATTCCTTTGCCACTGGGAGATTTTCACAGACAGACACCAATGCCATACATGTGGACACTAGAATCATTTCAATATAGAGGATGAAAGCCAGGAACAGAGAATTCAGTGGTACAGATTGAAGATTTTAATTTAGTTTCACAGTGAGCTACTAAGTCAGGAGAATGTTCAAAGAGAAACAATTCTACCCTACAAAAAAAAAAATTTTTTAAAAAATAAAAAAAATTGATACAGATACCACAAATGTCAGAGAAAGAAAAGGTGAGGGCTTAGATGGTTTTTTGCAAAATGGTTTAGTTTTATTTTCTTTAGTTGTTGTCATCATAAGATAAGGTTTTAAGTGGGGGGGGTTAGAAAAGGCCAAGAATAATAGCCACTGCCAAGCATCTAAGACAATACAAGCCAGGCAGAAGGTGGCAAAGACTACAACATAATAAATTAAAAAAGTAAGATTTCAGTAAAATTTAAAAAAAGAAAAAAAAAAAAGAAAAAAAAAAGCGAAAAGGAAAACCAATTCCATGAAAAACAGATGTACACACACACACACACTATATATGTTTAAATTAGTAATAATGATAATAATAATAATAATAATGATATGAACAATTGTTCATCACATATCCACACACATATATATATATATATATATATATATATATATATATATATATATATATATATATATTTGAGAGACTTTTGTACAATTCTTGTTTATTTTGTCATTATCATTACTACTGCTACTAGTATTATTGTTTTAACAGGTCACATTATCCTCCACATTCCAACATATTAGGAAACACTAAAACTATTTCTGCGCACACAATTTTTGTACATTTAACTTTTTGAGCTTGCTACTAAGGTCTAATAAAATAGAATTCCTGACACTTGAACTACTTAATAATTTGTTATTAGCCACACTCACTGAACCATGACACTCCCAATTTTTGACAAAATTTTATGACCAGTGTTTGGTGCAAAAATTACTATGCCTGATCATAATCAACCAATCAGATTGCATTTTAAACATATAGCAATCTGAGCCGCTTTCTTTTTTGGCATAAAACAGAAAGTATTCTCTAACTCCAGTCAGATGCTGATATATGACATAGCAATACCAGATGTCCCACAGCACACTTGTCACATGTGACAGTGGATAAATTGAACCATGAAATAAATATGGACAATTTCTTTAAATTCCCATTCCAACTTAAGTATCTCAAAAACGTCATAATTTCAGGTAGAAATCAAGATAGATGACCAAGGCTTATCCAATACATTTACTCTTCAACCGAACTGAATTAAGCTCTCTGGGCCACTGACTTATTTTGCATAGAAAACATTAAAATTTCCCTTCCTCTCTGCCATGCAATGATAGCCTAGGAGTAGAATCGCTGACCAATACCAAATCGGTTGGCTTTCGATCCTGGCTTCATACAATCAGACATCTAACTACACAGAAGAGCTGTGATACAGTGAAACAGTCTGTCTGTGGATGACAAAAAATATATATATATATATATAATCCTTTCTATGTAGATCAAGCTTTCCTAACCTTCCATCTGTAATTTGACAGTGCAAAATGGATATGATTAATAATAGATTTGAATAAATTGTTCTTACTCAGAAACAAAATCCAAAGGTGTCCATGCTGTTTGGTCAGCATTGGCCATCCATTTCCTGTTGCTTGGAGTATCTAAGGTGATTCTGAAAAAAAAAAAAAAAAAAAAAAAGTAGATTCTTGAAAAAATAAAAATAAATAAATTGAAGATCTTGTTCGGAGGTACAAAATTTAATGATTGCAAACAGAATAGGACTAGGCAAACTTATCACCCAGTTCAAACTCCTCTCCAATCTTCTCCCCTTGTGTCTTAGTGTCATTATTACCTTGCTTGGGGTGGATTGATTAAAAAAAATAAAATAAAATAAAAAATTTTAGGGACATACTTGAAATGGGTCTTATCAAACCTGATTTTAATCCCTCTCTCCACCAAACAAGACAACAGGTGGGAAGAAATGTTATTCCAATTATTTATTCATTTATTTTTTTTTCTCTTCAGTAGGAATAAATTGGTTAGGATATCATTCAGTTCACACTCCTCCCTGGTCTTTTGAACAGGAGTAGAGGTTTATCCCTTGGTTCCTGTTTCTTCTAAAGTCTTTTCTTCTTTCACTCGCAGTAGCCACCTTGCGTTTTAAGTGGCATTATCACCTTTGCATTGGGTTGAAATGATTTAAGGAAAAAACTAAATTAAAAAGACAATCCTTCTGCTTGCATAGGAAACATTACTTAGACTTGATTTATTTTTAATTTATTTAATTGCAAACAGAAAAGACAGGAAACAACTCTAGTAGTTTAATACAAAGGGAGAAAGACAGAAAGAAAAAGAGTGACCAGTTATCATTCCTCACATCAGAACCTGACTGGGGAAATAACCCCTTCCCACTTAATATTCTGATGAGGGAGAAGTGATAACCAGTTATTCATCTTTCCATCTTCTTTCACTATTCTTTTGTAGTAAACTACCATAATTGTTTTCCCTTTCTAATTACATCCTTTCTGTTTGCAATTAATAAATTGAAAATAAATCCAGTCTAAGCAACATTCCCAATAAAACCAGAAGGAATGGCTGTTGGGTCTTAATATAATCTGACCGATTTAATATTGCTCATTCTCTAATTTGTTTCTCATCACCTCCACACACACATTTTTCATCATTGCATACTCATTTTTCCGAGAGAGAAAGAGAGAGAGACATGATAATTGGCATTTTTTAAGTTTCTGTTTTGTTATATTTTGCAATCCCACTTTATGGTGAATACTTTGTTTTTCTTATTCTTGATCATCCCCCCTCCACACACACACACTTTGTTTTCATATATTTATATAGATTAGGTGAATATTTACTTTTAAAATGTCTGTTTTTAAATCCATAATTTTGTAACCACACAGATTATTTAAAAAAAAAAAAAAAAGGAAATTTTTTTTTATTCATTTCTTCCCCCCCCAAGCAAGGCAATAAAGTCACTAAGACACAAGGGGTTAGTGAGTGTGAAAGAATAAGAAAAATATTAAGGAGTGAGAACAATGAAAGAAGTGGAATCAAGAAGACAGTAGATAACAATCGACATTGATCTTGAAAAATAAAAAATATGCAAAGTTGGCTGGAAAGCAAGAAGAGAAGTCGACAAGAGAAGGTGCTTTCACTTAATTTTTGAATTGTCATGAACAAATGATAAACATTCATGAGGATGATCTAAAAGGTCAAGACTATCCAAAATCTTTGTCCACAAAAGCACAAACATGCTTTATCAGCTGACCATAAAACTAACATTCCCAACCACAAGTAAAACTGAATAACAAAAATTCAGGTTAAATAAGAGTAATTTATTCTCAAGTCAAATTGAATTTGTAAAGGAAGATCATTCATGTGTGCATAAATTTGACTTATTATTAAATGTCATGTGTATTTTTCTGTTGCTTTTATAATAATACCATATACAGGGTGTCTATAAAGTTCGTGTGCACTTTAAAAAATTTATAACTTTATTTGTATTTGCGATAGAAATAATCTGTAAAAAATGTTATAAAGTTTAATGTACCTAGTTTTAAGTATAGCTAAAATAACTAATGTGATTTCAGGCATTACTGTAAATCAGTTGGCAAATGTTTTCCGTGAACTGCAAAATCGTATTACCCTTTGTATTGCTAATGATGGAGGACATGTGGAAACTTAAATAAAAAATTAAATAAAAAAAAAAAAAAAAAAAAACATTAAAAAATATAGATTTACATCTTTCTAATCCTTTTTACAAATTATTGCTATCGCAAATATGAACTTAAAAGACACCCTGTATGTCAGCATAAAAGGTGACCTTTTAACCTTAAAAATCCCTCCTCCCTCAAAATAGGGGCCATCTTATATGCCAAGTATAAAATGTGAACCATAAATCCTTATTTATGGTAAGTTGTTAACATGGGAGATTTTTCACAACAGGTTAACACCTGCCTCCCATATTTTTTTTTTTAATGATGTTGAACAAAAACCTAACTGGATGTATGTTTCAAGAAGTCATTTAAAAGACTGCAGTGGAACAAGTGGATGGTTAATGTTGGGAGAAAAGTCATTCAGGCTACTGTGATATCCTACCAAAAACGCAGCACCCACTCATGAGGTATTATAGATTGTGATAATTAATTGGCAATATCTCATCACCATTTTTTCAGTAGAATTTGAGTGAAAAGAAAATATATGCTTACTGAATTTATTTAATAAATTCAATACAATACATTTTAAAATACATTTTGAACATAGCCCAAAACATACATTTTAACTTGAAAATTTTAGGGTCACCTTATACATCCAGTTGCCTGGTATGCTAGTGTATATAGCAGATTTTTTTTTTTTTTTTTTTAAAGTGTCCCGGTTTTTTCTTAGAAGAAAAACTGTCAGTCATTATCACTTCTTTGATAAGTAACTCACTGTTCACTGTTTTATGAAAACTAATAAGCAGTACGTATTGAAAATAAAAAATAAACCTTAAGCAAAATTTGAACTCTTATCCCTTGTGACAAAGTCATTTGCGTAGTGATGTTTTGCTTATGAGACAAAGGTGACAGTAGCTTTTGTCAGTTTCAATCTCAGGGAATTACTGCTAAAGATTTCCCCACTTCAAATTTATAGACAACTTCTACAAATGTAAGCTGGGATTTTCTTCCTAGCCAATAAAAATGGACAACTCTCAATCTTATGCATAATTTATTTCCTGCATTGAAGGCTATAACCAATTGACTGTATCCCTTTTGCATGGGAACACTTATTGAGAATTTTACCAATTCCATTTAACCATTCCTAATTCCTCAATAGTTTTCATTACTATAATTTAGGTTTATTTTACTTGAAATTGTGATAAAAAACGTTAATACATCTAGCTAATATTTACTAAGTACAAGAGCAGTACACATTGGTGAACAGGCTGTCTAAATAAAATAAGCCTGTTTGTAGAGCTCTGTGATGCATTGACCTTATTTGAGTATTATTTTTAAATATAATCTTTAGGGTTGAAAATGGCATCACTAGATCACAACAGGATTGTAAATATTATAAGCAAAATTAGATATGACGTATAATGAAATACAATTCAGAAACACTTTGTGTTATATAAGCATAGAAAAAATATCAAACTGATTTATTATACATTTCAGTATGTTAAGTAATGGACAATAAGTAACAAGATAATTTGTTATAATTTAGAAATATTTTTAAGTATTTAAGTTTTTCTTTCTGGTGATGAATTAGAAAAATAAATGTTTTAATAGTTTCTTTTTCTTTTAGAATATGTTTGAGAAGAGGCTTTCTTTGAAATCTTAGTAATACATTTCAAAGAAATTATTGCATTCTTCAACGAACATATTTGCATATAATTTTGGTAAGTACAGTAATAAAGAAATGTTTGCTTATCTGTAGCTGGCAACATATTTTATCATAGGTGGTCCAAGTCAGAAAGATTTATTTTGGTAGCATAAACCAGTGGAATTTTCCACAAGCCAGTCAACCCCTGCTAGGAAATGAACTATTCCTGTTGTAATTTTCACCATCACCATCTTACAAATATATAACAAGCATTCATTGGTTAATCACCTTCAATCTATCTTGCTGATTGGTCAGTTCTAACCAATCAAACCCACCTGCACGCGACAAATCTGTTTTCCCGCGTTATTCATTTGAGCCTGTCATGTGGTACAACAAAATTATAAAAACAGAACACGTGTAAACTCCCTCATGTTTCTTTTCATTCATCTCTCTCTCTCACATCTCATTCTTTGCTACCCAAAATGTAATCTTCAAGAACTCCCGTCTTAACCTTTGCAGTCAGATGTTAAAGACCATTACCAACATTCATGCAAGTACGAACTCTGAAATCTCTTCTGAACTTTTACCAACTTGTACAATACACAATTCCAAACATGCTAAAAAAAAACTTTATTCTTCTAAACTACAGTTTAATAATTACTTTCACTTTATGAACTTAGGTACAAATATTACCTAAGAGACAACTGTCTAACCTTTTCACTCAGTATTCATGCATGTATATCAAATATTAATAAATTCAATTGTTACGTTTTGAAACAAGATGTTTATGAATCTTTATTCTGTCTTGTATTAATTGTTGTAGATTGGAAGATAATTAAACACATACAATTTTAAGCCTTCTGATAATTCAAAATTCGCAACAAACCTGTCTAATGCACCATGGGAATATTCTCTATTTTAATTAACTTTTTCTTTCTTCATTGTTAACTACAATTCTTATCTTGTATTTTTATTATTTCACCTTTAATTTTTGTTTATTATTTCGGTTCCAAACTACTACATAGCAGTATCATGCAGAAGGTGGAGGCAGAATGTGAGATGCGGCTCCAGGCATCCATATCAGAAAGGTATCCAATCAAAGAGCGAAATAAAAATTTAATTCATCTTTAAATTGAATAAAGTGTTTATTTCATGCTACATCTATTTTTACATATTTAAAATGTCTTCATTTCTTACATTTTTCAGTACTAGGCCCTATCGGCTCCCCTACTTGAGTTTTAGGGGCATACAATGGAGGAGTTGACCCCAGGAATCACAAAACCTCTGCCTGTCACTGTTACATAACCTCCAACACACATTTGTAGAATATTTAATAATTTATTTATTGCTATCACTACAAACTATATTTCAGAGAGTTCAAAAACATCTCCACAACCATGTGAATAAAGAATTATTTTCCACCCTACAACCTCTTTCCTTACAGATGAAATGTTGCAAGCTTCTTACTATATCACTATTTCCATAGAAAATAGTTTGATAAGCTTCATTCATTAGTTCCACTAGTTAAGACCTGCTATGCCACGTACACTGAGGCAAATCATACTCTTACTCTTCATGTTCCATTGGTAAAAAAGAAGTTCTACTTCGACATCTTCTTTCTAAGCAGTAATACTTTGTGGAACAGACTTCCAAGAAGATGCTTTCACAATCATTATAATCTTAACCACTTCAACCATTATCTTTCCTTCATATCCTCCTAATCAACATTTCTTACTTCCTCCTGTTACAACAACTACATTCATTAACCCTCTACCTTGAATGGCTCTTAGGCCTTTTATTGGCTAAAGAATTAATTAATTAGTTATGCTTTAAGGAAATAGAAGCTTTGTCTGATTTTTCAAAATGATCAAAATATCTCACCATAGCAACAGAAGTGTAGTATAGTTTAACTGCATCAGGATTACCAGTGTGGTTAGGTGGTGTTGTAGAGATTATTGACTAGCAGCATGACCCGGCGTTGCCTGTGCTTGATTCAAAAATCATACGATTCATACAGCAATCGCTATCACTTGACTTAAAATATTTTTGCTCTTCCTTGCCTTTAAAGGAGTGCCCTTTGCCGTGCTGATGTTGCTACATGCTTTACTTCTTGCCTATCTCATACTGCAAATTTTTTCTAAGCTCTATACTAAACATTAAATCTGTTATGAAATAAAGAACTAAACAAAATGAACACAAAACAATCAGCTTTAAAAAAGGACTATTTGGAAAAAACCAAATTAAAAAAGAATGTTAACAACAAATACTTTTTCACACCCAACCAAAGTTCTGCAGAATCAACTCTTGATTAATTCGAAATTTAATGAGCCAATTGGAGTAAAAAGTGACCATGCAGATTTAAATTTTGATAAGTTGTGATGAATATAGCTATATATTTTTTTTTGCATATATATATATATATATATATATATACATATATATCAGTCATATATTATATATCCGCTTGGCCAATAGAATATCCTATAAATTAATGGATTTAAAATATGGTTTCTCACTCTGGCCAGTAGAAAATGGCTGCAAAACTACATGAAAAATGCCGAGAAGCATGAAAAAAATGGATTATTTCCACTATTCGATGGAATTTGGGAAATTCAAAAGTCGTCTTCGCCTTGAAGATGAAATTAGAGCATGTGCATGTAAATTTTGGTGCAAATCCATCGAAAATTGTAGCCCTCCATTCATTACACACACACACACACACATCCTGCCTTTTATAGATAGAGATGATGTTTATCAGAAATATAAGACATAAACAGAACTTATGCATGGACAACTCTGATTTTTGGTGTTTTTTCAGTCACAAATATGTAGGATCTTCTCCTGCAAACTTCCTGCATTTTTCGGCCAGCTTCAGTCTTTTCTTACTTTTTGTTTTAGGGTTGCCTTCTCATTTTTTTTTTTTTTTTTTTGAGAGGTATAGAAAGAGTTTACAGAGAGAGAGAGGGAAAAAAAGGGATAAGGGTTTTAAAGGAAAGCACAAATGCTGTATTTTAATTCTTTTTTATTTTTGTTTATAAATTTTATTTGGTTTTTATCAAGACTCATAACAGAAGAAAATGATTATTGCTAAACATCCTTGTAAGGTGCTCTATGATAGCGACCAGCACTTTACTGACATGCGTACATATGTCTGGCCTCACCTACAAAGTGACCTATGGTATTCTGAAGTTAAGGGAATTTTTCTCTTAAGGTTTATCAATCCTTTATTGTCGATTTAAAACTGAAACATTTTGGATTGTAGGAGGTTGTTTACTGTAGTCTGGATTCAGAAATACAAGAATCAAACACATTGTTGGTGTTTTTTCTGTGTTTTACAGTTTATTAACCTTTTTCAGCTTATTTTAAAGCCAGAAAACTTTTTGCAGATAATGATTTAAATTAACCCATAGCTGGAGAGAAAATGTGGATTCATGCCTTTCACATAAGTGAATATAAAGAACCAACTGGAATTGAAACTGTTCTCCAACTTCCAATTCTGAGCAGGTATTCATTACACTACCCACACATCCAATCTTACAGCACCTGGCATTCCCAGGCAGTCACCCAGCTAGGTACTGGCCAGGCTTGATGTTGCTTAACTTCAGTGATCATAGATGAGCTGGTGTTTCAACATGATATGGCTATAAGCCTCATCTTCAATTTGTCAAAATGCCCAACTAGTCATCGTAACTTTCTCCTCTCCTCTGGTTGGTTTCCTTGAGCTCTTTGCCTCAAAACAACAGGACATTAAAGAAAAAAAAGGCACTTCCATAAGTGCTTCGGGTTTTATTTATACTTCCTGATGACCTACAATTTGTAATGCTTCTTTCCATCAGTGATAAGTATTTAATCTAACATTGTTTACTTAGAATCTTTTCTAACTAATCTGGAGAAAGGAAATAGAAAAGTATTTTTTCTTTTCAACTATACTTACAGTGCTCAGTCTTTCCAAGCAGTCCCCAATCTAAGTACTAATTTAAAACAACACACACACAAAAAACACACCACACAAACACATCACCACAAAGAAAAAAAACACACACACAACCACAAAGAAAAAACACACACACTACAAACACCACAAAAACACACGCACACACCACACGCACAGTCCCCAATCTAAGTACTAAAAACAAACGCCCATAACACTAAAAATACAAACAAATACATAAAAAATAAAAATAAAAAAGGCTAATAATTTAAAAAAGGTAGTAATTTTGAAAAAGAAAAAAAAAATACACATTTTATCTCACTTACGGCAAAGTAGCAAATGCAACAGCATTTGTTGGGAGTCCACTGTTCTTGCCAGCCAAACTCTTGGTCAGTTGATGAACAGCTGCTTTGGCCATTCCATAACCAATCATGCCTTAAAATAAGAAACAGACATTAGTATAATATTTAATGAGTTCTAATTAAAATATTCATTATGTAATGGTCAATATTTCTACAATCTTATATGAATGCAGAATGTGCTTTGCAGGACACTGCTGG